ACACGGTAATAACAAGTATTGTTTTTACCCGATTGTGTTTGATGCTACCTGCCTTGAAAAGATTATTTTAATTGATATATTATTCACTTAATTGTTACAGTAATAATCATATTGTTTAAGGATCGGACGATGACATTTAAAAATTCATATTATAAATGACTTATTTATTTCACAATTTTAGTCTCTGTGCTAGCCAAGGTTACTCAAAATCACGATAAAGAGCGAAGTCTTGCCGACTCATGAACCTTTCTGTGGAGAATGGAATAAGAAGATGACTGCTTCCTTTCTCTCTTCATTATAACATCCTACATTAAAATCTGGTAATATGAACATGATCCAGAGACATTGAACATTCGCTTTTATTTTAGCTTTTGAAATTTATTGCTGTGTTTGAATTTTATTCATGATTTACAAAGAACTTCCTCGACCTTAAAGGTTATGTTGTCAGAGTAAGACCACGGGTGCCTCTCCATGTTATATGCAGATATATGTTGTTTTTTTTGCTGTTGTTGTTTTTATATCTACAAATAAATAAGCATTTTCTTGCCGATTGAAAACTTCCCACACTTAGTTTTAAATCCATTCTGGCCACATCGATTTGAAAGTCCATTGGTTTGAAGTATGGACCCCTAATATCACGACAACTTTTACATATCAACATTACGTCAAACATATATATTTTCCAATTAAAACCATGAAACATAGTTTTTGACACGAATCGAATTGGACAAACAGCAATACCTCCTGCAACAACAAGAATAAATCTAAAAATTTACGTGAACAATATGTATGACTCATTTTGTCTCCCCTTTTTGAAATCGGAGCGTTTTTAACGTATTATTGAGGAGATAAATACAGATTACATTCTTTTTCACTTGCTTTTTTTCTTTCCTTTTCTTTTAATCGTGCGTTTATAAAGTTATCTAATTTACTATTATAAATAACAAATCTGTCTTAAAACTTTAAGTTTGTTTGATAATTTAATGATAAATCACCACTCAGTTTGTTTAATGTGGACACCCAGTGGCTAGAGCAGGTGTTGAAATAATTGTTTTAGAAAAAGGTTTTACTAATTTGTTATTCACTGTCTTTGTTTTTGTGGTGATATCTACCTTTTAGCTACGTAGAGTGATATATAACTACTTTGTTTATTTGAGTTTTATTGTATAAAAATGTTGCTATTCAGGAGTTTACTAGTGACGGATATAGTCAAAACTTGGCACTGAATAAGGTACGGGATTTGCTTTATTTTTGTTGTGTCAGTATTATAAACTTTGTTGTTGCCCGAGTCTGGATTTGCAGTTTCGTACTTCGTTCTTTCTAAATTTGCATAATTTGCTTCTTTATTTAGTTATTCACAAAACAAAAACAAACGAACAAACACAAAAAAAGAAAAAAAGAATATAAAATAAACTGAAACGACACATACAAACACAAGTTTCAAAGTTTATACATATCCATCCCTCAGTCCGAAAAAGTCCGTTAGGAAAAAAAGACTCAGAATATTCTAAATTAAATTAAAGACCATACAAACAACTATTAAGTAATTTGCATGATTCATGATATAACGCCCTCCAGTGTCTATGTATGTGTAAATTGACAATGACTTTAAAATACCGACAAAATAATTTGGTTACTTCCCCTCAAGGTCACAAGTAAATTGACTTTATTTTTTCAGAGTTATATCTTCGTAATTGCAAGTTATATGAATAATAATCAAACCATTTGAATACAAACTATATGATATAGTTTGATGATATTAAATCAATTTTACCTCTATTAACGTTCCTAAAATAACACTACCATAACATTTTTAGATATTATCTTTCAATTAACAATAACAACTTAAGGGGGGGGGGGGGGCTGGGGCTGGTGGTTAAGGTGTCTGCCTCTCAACCAAGGGATTAAGAGTTCGAGCCCTAATCGGGTCACGACCATGTTTCGCATTCGAGCTTAAATAAATATGTTTAACCAATATCAACTAGACAAAATACCAAAATACTTAGTTTACGGATGGATTTAATAAACACAACTAAGTACAAGTATAAACACTAGAAGCGCAGAAAATACTTTCTAAATAAAATTTATTTTCTGTATAAAGAAAAAGCAAAGTATAAAATACTAAATAACATTATTTCTTGTTTACTTGGTAGACAATGTTGTAGGTAAGAATAACTACATTAGTCATGGATTAAACAAAACATACTAGTATATTTATGTATTCGCTTATTTGTATATCATGACACATTTATTTGACACATGATACTTTTTAATTAAAAAGTCATGTGACTGACATTAGATTGCATTAATAAATTATTACAGTTGACCTCGGGGTCCGCCGCTCTAATTTACTTAACCGTGATCCAACGCGGGTCTGTTGTTACACAAAAAGCGACGGACATCTAAATGGGAAAAATGTGTTACTGAATGACCGTATTGACGGGAAAGATCAGATACGGTCGAGTCAATTGAGTACAAAAACTTGCACCGTCTAAAAGCCGCGGGATATTTGATTTGTTAAACACAGACAGATAATGCCCCGTTAATGTTCTTCTGCTTTAAGTAACACGTATCATTGCTATAGCAACGGATATTGCGTCCAGTGGAATTAAAACTTTTTTGTGTGTGCATTGTAAATTTCTAGTGTAACTAACCGTTGAATTTCTCAGTTATATTCATGATATAAGGAAGGATAAAAATTTACAGTTTTCTCAAGTATGGAATTATGGAATCCTAGAGGTACCATTGTCATATTTATGAGCATAAATGTTACGTTGTAAACGCATTTTGATTCCTTACATTTGTACAAGAAAGTAAACTTAAGTTATTATCATTTTATAGCTTATAAAAAAATGTGTCGAATATTTAACATATAAATTATTTTTGCAATAACTTATCGCCCCATTTTCATTCGAATGGTACAAATATCTAAGAAAAGTTAATGGATGCAAGCAATTTCAATCAGAAATGTATCCATAACATTGGGGTCTTCTTGACAATTTTGATTTTTCTGAACCTCTTAAATTTTTCATCAGTTGTATACATTTTAGATGAATGCATTAAAAGATAGGGCATGTATTATATCATACTGTTTAAATAGAACATACGAGTGTATTCCCTTTAGATAAAACCAACAGAACAAAATGTCCGAGTTTTATTTAGTTTGTTCAAGATTTTCGATGAAGTTTTAAATCTTTGACTATGATATTTATGATAAAAATTTGACCAAACTATAATACAATACAAGGGTCAGCCTTAGGTTGGACAGTCGGGATGATTGTATGATATAGGATATGTTATTGTTCTTGTTATGACACTGTCATTTATTATTAAAGATATATATACGAATATACCGTAAATCGTATAGGTCATGATGGGTCAGACTGTCAAAAATTTGAGTAAGATATTTGTTTAATTTGCACGGAATGTGCGTAGTTTTGATCTGCATGTAAACAATGAGTAATGTATGTCACTTGTATGAATATTAAAATCAGTAATAAGTCTGAATATATGAAATTTTGGCGCGAAAATAAACATAAAGATGTATTTGACGGTTAAGGAAAACGTTCATTGAATATCATGAACACTTTCGAAGATATGTCCTTGGATAGGATGTAATCAAATTTCTATGGAGGCAATGCAATCCAATATTTAGAGCTAAGACAAAATCAAGAATTTACTTTAATAAGTCAATCTAGACTGCAACAAATTTTAATAAAAAAGTACATTTAGCTATACAGATAGAACCTGTAAAAGAATGTTTGAAGAAGACATAGATCTGTTTGATTTATCACTTGACATAAGAAATAAAACCTGGATTTACGTGTACAATGTATGCTCGATTCTAGTTGAATTTTTGACATGCGCATTATCGTTAATCATTGACAGCTATCACATAAGATTACAATATTTTAGTTACCGATAGCCAACTTTTAAACTATGATATTGAACATTTTCTCTACCCTATAATCAGGCAATATGATTGAGACATTTCAAAAAAGTAGCTATGAACAAAATAGTCGTATTGTATTATATTAAACTGGCTTTTATCTCAGGAAAATAATGAAGAATTTTTTTTTCACCGCATATATCTGTATTTGATGTTTCACATTGCTTGAAGTGCTTGACAAAACGATTATTAATATCACTGTTGTTCAAATAAACGTATTGAAAATCAATTTAAATCTTTTTAACTCTTCAAACATTTCCAGCGCCAAATGTTAATTAAATAAAAAAAGGTGTGTTTACTTTAAGGAAAAAATGAACAGATAATCCTTTTTCATTAAATAACATTGAAGCGCCTCGTGATCTGGAGTGAATCTCGTACATGTAAGCGCTTTTAGTCATCGGTTTATGTTTTTTTGATATGTAATTAGGAAGAGTGAAGCCGTCCGGTTAACTCAATAGGTAGAACGTTGGACCGTGTAACGGGCGATCCAGGTTTGAGTCCCAAAAGGTGCATGTCAATTTCGTTGTGATTGATCATGAAATCCTTTCTACGGCCATTCGCACTGTATCTCTGCTCTGGCATGTACATAAGTTATCAGTTCCTTGCGAAAGTGAAGGCAACTAGTACTGGTAAACTGCTTGACAGCCTGCCCAGGAACGATGCAGTGGCTGAACTGAGCTCTGGTAAATTCAACGTGGCTAACTGCTGTGATCCGGTTCTAAAGCATTATTTAGAAACTGTTTCGATTTCTATGCAAAACACAAACTTCAAAGATAAAATTTGCCGAAAAGAAAATTATTAAATGTAATCGTAGAAAACTATGTCTTTAAACTATGACCATCCAATTTTGCACAAAAGTTTCTATTTAATATATATCTTTCACATTCATATACGACGCCACTTCAATAGCATGGTTATAGGCCATCATTACGTGAATTATCAATGCGAATAGAGTATAAATAGGCTATGATTTCATTAAACCTTTTCCCGCCTTTTTCTTATCATATCTAATAGATTCTCTTTCTTTGGGCAATATCGACGAATGATTGAGTGTTTGGTCGATTGACTAGGATTTATAGCATGAGCTGGGCACGCGCTACGGCTAGAAGATTCTTATTTGCGATAAAACTGGGGCTTTGCAGAAATAAGATTGAACAAAACTTTATGAAAAAAAATACTTAAAAGAAATTCGGACTAGCAATTTTACTGTTCAGATGCTTAAACAATTTAGTGATAAACATTTACGTACTTTTACAGTTTTTGTGCGAATTTAATATAAATTAGGACTATTTTCTTTATTTCGCCGGGGATAACAAGACGACTTTGCATAGGTACGTTTCTAAAGATTATTCATTTACTTATTTAATTATTACATATATTACTACTACATTTACTTACTGTAAAGTAGTTTAGGCAATATATTGTAATCAACCTCCATTTTGGTAATTTCCGAAACTGTTATTTGTTTTGTGGAATAAAATTTTGGGACAGCTATTAAAGATTATTTTCATATCTGTGAAAAAAGGCTACATATAATATAAAACATTTTTGTCGTACATCTTTATTTTGTTAACTGTAGTTAGTATCAATAAGTAAATGCGCGTGTTATCTGTGATGAAAGAGAGAAAAAATAACATAACAGGAAAAACTTATCTCCTGTTTCGTGTAATGATTTTATTAAAGAAAAAAAAATGAAGTAAATTTGCATTTATCTCGAAATGTTTCATGATAAATTTTCTGTCAGGCTTATTTCCCCGGAAATTATAACAGTACGCCTCTGGATTCGTGCCTATTTTTGTGTTATTAAATGTTGCCAGGCTGATAATTGAAGTCACCAGCACAAGCCCTACAATGCATAAAAAACTTTTATGTTTTAAAGCGTGCCAAAATAAGTAACAGTAAACCCAACTACTTATTCAACGAAATTAGAAAATGCGGGCTCTATTAACGGATAGCCGATATTTTGGAGTTCGTTATAAAAGTGTATTTTTCTGTACTTTTAACTTATTATAAGCCGTGTTCGTATAACAGTACTTTTTATTTTAAATAAAGAAGGCAAAATTTGGGCCCAAAATTATTATTCCTTATAAACAACGGAAGTTCGCTATAACCGTGTCCGTTTAGTAAATATGGCGAATACATAAGTTTGGACACACTTAAATTTGTTGTGTATTTGTTCGTTGATTTCATATGTTAATATCAATAATTTTCTTAATTCTTTGTTGCTGTTGTTAACTCATCAGTATGAAAGCAACTTTAAAAAAAAAGACCCTGATGTCCTTGATTTATAACATAAAGTGCAATGTGTTTTGCAGCCTTTAGGATCCTTATCTTATATATAGTCACCGACTCTCAAACGGTCAACTACTACGTGTATTTATCATTACAAAAATAAAATTCAGTTAATATGTACTCATGTGTATAAAATTGCTTGGTGAATGTGCAGGGTATTTCAGTGTGAAGATTTCTCGTAACCTCAAAAACGGAAACGCTGCTATAGTCTCCCCCGACCTGGCATTTTATTGTGCAAGTTTTATGAATATAACAATGTGTGCAGAGGTATTTGGTAGAATATGTGTGTGCCAACAAGCTTAGAGGAAATATTAAATGCAAATTGTGACACCTCTTTAACTGAATTATGTTGTCAGAAACAGGAAAATTAAATTGGAACTGACAGACGCAAAATGTTTCTAGTGCACTGCCTTGAAAAGATAAAAAAACGATTTACCTATGATAACCATATATTTATGGTATAAAATCTGGCTTTTTAACACGGTGATGCACTTGTGGTATATCAAACATTCAAGTTTATCATATCAAATATTCAAGTTTATCGTATCAAATACAATGTATATCTCTTATTTGGATAATCTTGAAGGATTTTGCGATTAATTTAATGTTTATCCCTGCATAATTAATCTGTATATATTTCAGAGAGGTATCTCGAAAATGTAATATGCACAGGGCGAAATGTACTTATATAATTACCATGTTATTGTTGTAAGCTACGTGAACTCCCCTTTGGGCCTGTTAATATACACCGGGAGTATATCAAAAATAATTCAACGCTCATGATATATATTGACTGAACACGATTATCTGCAAGATATGTGATGATATAAGAATAATGTAATATAAGAATGTTATATCTTCATTGATATGCTATCATGTTACCGACCTATGTGATTTTGGTATATTTTCTGCTAAAAAGATTGGGATGTGTGTGTGTGTTATTGTTTGATGATAAAGAAAATTTGCTTTATTTGTTAAATATCCTAATAGATATGAGATAAAATAGCACGCAGTTTTGGTGAAATGTGAAAAAAAGTATATTTCGTTTTATCAAAAAAGAACTAAAAATCCCAAACACCCTAAATGTTACAATGTTCATAGTACAAATGAGAATTCGCATGAAAAGGTGCTTTAAATAAGTGGTGTATGATCTTATGATAAAACCCTGGCACCATTTTCTTCGAATATGCCATCATTCTAATTTGATATTAAATAAAAAAAACTCCTTTTCCACAATAGAATGCCTGTCAAAGTCTTTTAAATGTTTATGTATGGTTATTTGAAGGGATAATTATGGTCATAAGGCCGCAATATATAGAATTTTTACGCACTTTTAAACGAAAAAAAGTCTTCTGTATGTCCTCTTTTTGCCGGTTTATTTCAATACAGTGAAATATTTTTAGTTACTTATTTTTCCGTTTGACATAACTTTAAGAGATTATGGCGTGGTGAATCAGTAATTTGTACGTATTTCATCCATTCCCTATTTGTTGATCATGTAGTGGGACTTTTAGAATTAATACGACCTTTGCATTGCAAATAACTTTAATATCCGTTTGTCGTAGAAGAAACAAATAACACCATTTCTTATTAAACAAAATTTATTTGAAACAAAACATTACTTCATTTATTGTAACAGATAATGCGTTGTAAATTAAGTAAACATACTAATTAGGTAGATAGTTCTTTATTGAAAATATATCATAGGTGTAACTATGTACTAAAGGTATGAATGGTAGAATTAAGCATACAAATTATTTATATAACTAAATGTAAAGCGCAGGAACAAAATATCACAGTCATGACGTAACAAAAACAAGATAACATTTATAAATTGTTAATATCATAGACAATGAAAAATTGAAAAATATCAAAGACAGTGTATTAGAAGCAACCACAGCTAACAATGTAAAATATCACTGACAAATTAAAACTGGACTAATTATTACAGACGGTGTATAAGTGAAAAAGTGTCAAAATTTTAAACTGTTTTAATAAACTTCAAAACATAAACAATTCAAAATGGCCGGACAGTGGTGTATAAGGGTCAACAAAATCAAGTCATAAAAAAACCATAACGGACGGAATATCACAGATTAAATATCACAGACAGTGGTGTATAAGGGACAACAAAAACAAAACAAAAATTTAAAACATAACGGACGGAATATCACAGATTAAATATCACAGACAGTGGTGTATATAGGACAACAAAAACAAAACATAAAAACGTGAAACATAACGGACGGAATATCACAGATTAAATATCACAGACAGTGGTGTATAAGGGACAACAAAAACAAAACATAAAAAATAAAACATAACGGACGGAATATCACAGATTAAATATCACAGGCAGTGGTGTATAAAGGACAACAAAAACAAAACATAAAAATATAAACATAACGGACGGAATATCACAGATTAAATATCACAGACAGTAGTGTATAAGGGATAACAAAAAACAAAACATAACAAAATAAAACATAACGGACGGAATATCACAGACAGTGGTGTATAAGGGACAACAAAAAACAAAACATAACAAAATAAAACATAACGGACGGAATATCACAGACAGTGGTGTATAAGGGACAACAAAAAACAAAACATAACAAAATAAAACATAACGGACGGAATATCACAGATTAAATATCTGAGACAGTGGTGTATAAGGGACAACAAAAACGAAACATAAAAAAAAAATATATAACGGACGGAATATCACAGATTAAATTTCACAGACAGTTGTGTATAAGAGGCAACAAAAACAAAACATAAAAATGTAAAACAAAACGGACGGAATATCACAGATTAAATATCACAGACAGTGGTGTATAAGGGACAACAAAAACAAAACATAAAAATGTAAAACATAACGGACGGCATATCACAGATTAAATATCACAGACAGTAGTGAATAAGGGATAACAAAAACAAAACATAAAAATATAAACATAACGGACGGAATATCACAGATTTAATATCACAGATAGTATATAAGGGACAACAAAAACAAAACATAAAAATGTAAAACATAACGGACGGAATATCACAGATTAAATATCACAGACAGTGGTGTATAAGGGACAATAAAAACAAAACATAAAAAATAAAACATAACGGACGGAATATCACAGATTAAATTTCACAGACAGTGGTGTATAAGGGACAACAAAAACAAAACATAAAAATGTAAAACATAACGGACGGAATATCACAGATTAAATATCACAGACAGTAGTATATAAGGGACAACAAAAACAATGCATAAAAATGTAAAACAAAACGGACGGAATATCACAGATTAAATATCACAGACAGTAGCGTATAATGGACAACAAAAACAAAACATAAAAATATAAACATAACGGACGGAATATCACAGATAATAGTGTATAAGGGACAACAAAAACAAAATATATAAAATGTTAACATAACGGACGGAATATCACAGATTAAATATCACATATAATAGTGTAAAAGGGTCAACAAGAACAAAATATAAAAATATAAAACATAACGGACGGAATATCACAGATTAAATATCACAGTTAATAGTGTATGAAGGAAAACAAACAAAACAAACAACTTTAAAATGTAAAACATAACGGACGGAATATCACAGATTAAATATCACAGACAGTAGTGTATAAAGGACAACAAAAACAAAACATAAAAATGTTAAACATAACGGACGAAATATCACAGATTTGATATCACAGACAGTAGTGTGTATAAAGGACAACCAAAACAAAACATAAAAATGTAAAACATAATGGACGGAATATCACAGATTACATATCACAGACAGTGTATAAAGTCCAACAAAAACTGTAAAATAACGGAGAAAACTGAAAAACTGACGGAATATCACAGATAATAATAGGTTTAACAAAGACGAAAAATTAAAACTAATATATACATGTATAACATATCATTTATGTAACATAGGTAACATTTAACAAAAAGAAAACAAAAATAACAATGTAACATGTTTGGCACATTTAAAAAACATTTAGGGTTTTTTGAAGTTTTTTTTTTTTGCATTTTTTTTCTGTTTTTTTTTCTTCTTTTTTTAGATTTTTTTTTTTTTTTTTTTTTGGCAATTTTACTTTTTTTCTATTTTTTATGCGATATTTTATATAAAACGTTAACGAAAAAATAAAACAACAAGAACAACGCCCAGGGTTATGTAGCATCTTTCTCACAAAGCTTGATCTTACATCCGGCTCTTTTTACGTCTTTTTTGCATAATACCCATTGTGTCATTCGTGTTAATTAATCTGGAATAGAATTACAAATACATTTGTATATAACTTGTTTCAAACACAGGTTCTTTTTATTGTGAAACAACATGTAGGGTTAGATCTAAAAATATTCCAAATTATAAGGTTATTATACCTTATTGACTACAATACTGAATTCTATTGGACGGGTGCACTTATGTCAAACCTGTATTGGACGAGACGCAGGTCGAATCTAAAATGTACATTACAGATGTGTACGAGTCCAGTAGAATCAGTATTTTACACAACGATATTCAATGGCGTATTAATTTTACACCACCAATATTTTCACACTTTAAAAGAACTTTGTTATTTCCAGTACAATAACAATTTGAAATGGAATTTTGGACTCGGAAAATGAAAACGAGACTAAATTGATAAGACTGAATCTAATAATGATAAATATTGGATACGCTAGAATGTCATTTGATACGTTTTGAAAGGTGTGAAAGAGTTTTATGATAACTGTAAGAAGTCTAATTTACAACTTGTGATCCACTTACAATTTTATTTAAAATTTAGTAATATTAATATTATATTGGTCAAAATTTTAAAGAATGAAATTTTATAAGACATTTCAACCATTACAAACAAAATCTTTCTTTAAAACAATCTAAACAATCTTCGATATAATGTGTCAGTCGACAGCTGTATATTGTAACAGTATACATGTATCAAGATGTACTATATTATTGCAATGCTTCCAGTAAGTGAGTGAGTGAGTGAGTGAGTGAATGAGTGAGTGAGTGAGTGAGTGAGTGAGTGCGTGCGTGCGTGCATGCGTGCGTGCATGCGTGCGTGCATGAGTGAATGAATGAATGAATGAATGAATGAATGAATGAATGAATGAATGAATGAATGAATGAATGAATGAATGAATGAATGAATGAATGAATGAATGAATGAATGAATGAATGAATGAATGAAGGAACGAACGAACGAACGAACGAACGAAATGAATGAATGAATGAATGAATGAATGAATGAATGAATGAATGAATGAATGAATGAATGAATGAATGAATGAATGAATGAATGAATGAATGAACGAATATAAAAATAAAATGCTTATTGATAAAAACTTTAGACCTTCAATGCTACAAGTGTAATTTTGTATACTGTTATTAATGTTACTTACCAATCCACTTGAATTACCAAGACACTTGAAGCTTTCCTTTCACGTTAAAAATACTTCTTCACTGTTTTGTTCTAATAAGTCTCCTTTCTCTCTGAAATACGAGATGGAAATGTTTAAACGAATACGAATTTGATTGTTTCGTGTAGAATTGGTAGGCCTGTTGTTTTTTTTATATATACATCATGTATATATGAATAGCAGATTCATCTTTAAGAGAAATTTTCATTTATACATGCGGGAACGAATTGAGAAACAGAGTAGAAGTAAAATTCAATTAGATGGTTCCTGTAAGTTTCTATTAATTACATTGTTACCACAGAATGTAATTTGACGGCTTATATTTTCCGACCAATACATGCTGGCTTAAACAGAACAGGGACTGTACAGGCTCTATTATTATAACCATTCCAAATATATGTATCTTTTATCATAAGTCACATATTTATGAACTTTAAAGTGTACATAGCTATACATGCATAGCTTCTGTCTGTAGTTTTGAAAAATTATTGTTTGAATTTTGAAAAAGAAAACACAAAATACCTTTATGAAAGAAATATGGTAGTTAATTTAATTTAAAGAGAGCAGCTCTGCTTAACTGGATAAAAAAAACGTATTAAAACAGCAGGACAGATTTTTGTTCCGGAATACGGGCAATATTTATGCATGTTAAATTACAGAAGCATTCTATGTTACAATTATTTCGAGATCATGAGTTTTTTATACAAGCAATATAATTTTACCTTTAAGAATTTTTTTTTATAAGATATAGTTTTATATACTTAAATATATGAATACATTTACTATAATTCGCAAATGGAAGTTATGATATACAATGTATGATTTTCTTATGAAAATGACAATCAATCAAAAGAAAAACTTACCAAACTTGTGTAAAAATCGCAACTCCATGAAAAATATGCCTCTTAACCCTGGATTCCGCCATGGCTCCGTGAATTAATTATTTAACTGTATTCTTCGTACACATGAAATTTTATTCCTTTTCATTATTTTATTTGTATTTTTCTTACTTTTGCTCCGGTTACTTCCAATGCGCACGGCGGAATAATAAATTTGGCCGTTTCGCACATATTTAAACATTGGCACGTGCTGTGTTTGTTTGTTTGTTGTCAATGATATAATACTTAGATTGTAATCGCTTTTTATTGAGCCACTTCTGTTTCAAACATGTAAAAACAGCTCATCCGCGGACTTACCCAAATCCGCGAAAACTGCTTTAATTCTTTTTAAGAGTAATTATTTTCATTCAAGGCATTTGATAGACTAGTTTTTTGTCGGTTAAATGAACGGATTGTTACGAAAGAAGTAACAGCAAGAAATTTGTTAGATATATGTCTAATCTTGTAATGAAATCCCTTTATATTATATCATAATTTTTTTAGGATAAGTGGAACAAAATCATAAGAAGAAAATATCTTTACATGCGAATTTATCTTAAACATGTACAATATAATACAATTAAGTTTATTTGGCATTACACATTTTATAATGTTAATCAATGAATTTGAATATAATTTAATGTTAATACCATACAGTATGAAAAAAGTACACATACATAGAAAATAAGTAAAAGAAACATTTTAATCTTATTCTGACAAAGTGATTAGTCGTTCCTACCAGTATATAGCCAGACCAGCTAAACTTTTGTATTTCATTTACAAATCTCTTAATAGATAAAAGATTTTATTAGCATTAAATATTGTTCAAATGTTTATAGCAACAACAGATGCAAACAAATCCAATACACATCCCATATATACAAATGGTGACCATTAGTGGAAAGGCAATAATAAGTCCTCCATTTTCCATTAACGAATAAAATGCATCTTCAGTAAGCTTTAAAGTATTTCTTGTACAAAAAAGTGGAAAAAAGAAAAAAATACCTTAATATTGAAAAAAAATGTTCCAAAGCCAAAGCAAGACAAGTCCGTTATATTTATATAGCATGTAAAAAAAATAATGATTAAGTGTGACTTTTTATGTTATTTTAATACTTTATTAAATATACTGATAAAGCCTGCAATTTCTTTTGATGAGCTTGTAAACAAAGTGAAAAATAATTTAGATATTCTTTAAGGTAGCTGATAGGCCCATCAGGTCGGATGTATTTGTTTTGTATACACGAATACGTATTCGCTTGTGTTGAATATAGTTTATATTTTAATCATGTAACAAGATTCTATAAGTTTTCAGAAGTCACGTTAATTTCTTATCTTGTATCATTCCCTACATTTGCAAGTATCACAAAATATTTTGTCACCGTAACTTAGATTTAGATAAAACATACATTTAACGTGTTTAGTTTTAATCATCTGTAGAATACGTTTCAAGTGGTATTTTATAAATATTTATAGACATTCATAAAAATGGCGTTTAATAAACTTAATAAGGGTCGGAATGAAATTCGTCTTCAATTTAATCTTTTCTTCACTCAAACATGCATACAACACGTAATAGGAGGACATGTAACAATTTCAGACCGGCATTTGAATGCATATACGAACTTTTAGCGCTTTGTTTATCTTGCAACGCGAAAGTACGGTTTTGATTTACTTGATTAATAAAATCCTGAAATTACAGGCTAAATGTTAGACTGGCGTCACTGGCATCAAATAAATTAACCACTGTCTAATTTTCCTTTTAATATTTCTGGATAATTATTAATATCTTTTTGGTATTAGCTTTGTCTTAAGTCGCCAGTTTCTGTTTTAGCCAAAATGATTGAATGATTGATTGATTTACGCTCATAGAACGATCGAAATAATGTGTATTTTCTATATGGCGTAAGTCATATATATTTCTATGTAATATCTTTCTGATGAGTTGTTTCCGTATGTTTGATTTATAGGAAAACTTGAATCATCAATTTACATATAAGGTCTAATTACGTATTGGAAGAACGCTATCCTGGTTTGGTAGCAATCGATCTGTTATTTGACCAAACACCATTTCATCTTCAACTTTTCACTCCTTCTGGTTCCAAGTAGTTTTATCAAGTACACGCGATTACTTAATTACATTTTCAGAGATTTATGCCTTTTCTTTTGTTTTAAGAAATTTTGTGTGTAACTCTCCATTTATACCATGATAAGAGTTTAGGTTAAATATTTGTATAAGCTTGCAAATTTGCGAATAGAGAACACCTCACTCCAGAACACTCGCGTTATTTCCCTCCAATGAAAAAAAATCATGCATCTTATCATTGCGAACTAGAACTTTTAATGATATATTGAGTTTTCGTTCTTTCATGGCTGATTCAATCTACAATATCATTTTAAAATGCATGAATACATGTATATTCATATATCCACTTATATAATTAGAAATTAATTAAATGATTTAGTTATTCCAATTTTTGTATATTTTCAGAGGAATGCTTTGAAGCAGTTATAAAAACGAAACAGATATTGGTTTGCAGTCGGCTATTGTAAATGAATATACTTCACATATATTCTCTGGGTTATTTTTCTTCGCACACATGATTATATACCAAACATCACATTGTTTGAAACATCGATAAACAGATGAAGGCAAAAAGTTCAAGAGGTACTTAGAAAAAAAAAGAAAGAAAAAAAAATCGGTATTGGAATTAACGCTCTCTGTGATAGCAGAGCCAAGGTGGTAAAACAATTTATCAAGAGTAAGTTATGAAGAGAAAATCTGATACCATTAGAATCTATTCCTCCGAATTGATGTGAAACGAAGGAATACGTAAGATATATGTGTGATTTGTGTCCAAATTCCGTGAATCTTGGATGTTTTGGGAAATTTATGGTTGTTGGAAGTTGAAGTTCGCGAAAAGTGTTATCTTTCGTATATATTTGGATTATACTTTGTATGTGAAATAATATACATGTAATAAAAGAAACAGAATTGTTTACTTGACAAACTTGCGTGAACTGTTTCAGAAAATCTAAAAACAATATGTAAGTAACAGTGATAAATTAGTTTATGCAAATGAGGAAAAAAGCATAATGTTTTTATTTAAAAGATTCACATTTTAATGTTAATGTATTAATTAAATTAAATGATATATCAATAATGACAAAGTGAGGATTGTTCATTCAAGATGCAAAGAAAGGAAATTTCTCAGACATTTTTAAATTCCATGTAGGAAATAGTTTGAGTTCGATTTATATTAAAATAAGTGTATAGTTTAATCTGATAATCAAAACAACGAATCATGAGCAGACGCGCGAGTTTATTCGCAAAACAAAACCCGGAAGTTAAAAAGAAAGGTGTTCGGTTTCCGGATGAGTTGGTATTTTTGGACAATATTAAGGAAAATGATATACATGCTTTGGATCACATGCTGCGGAGAGCCAGCTTACAAGTTGACATTAGTGGTATTAATGATGTTGGTGAGTTATTACATGCAGCAAGACTGTAGCATTTTGAATTTCGTAAATATGTTTGTAATATTACCTTTTTGTGTGCTTTTTTACAGTGAAAATAACGTTTTCATATTTTATACCAAAATCGTGATCTTTACCATTAAAGGAAATATTATCACCGCACTACGAGTTTCAATTTCCATTTGTTTTCTTTAGTAGATCAATCTTACATTTATACGTAATCATTTACAGAGAAAAATTAAATGTTTGCTAAATCTTAATGATTAAGATGAATATTAAAGACAGTTATTGAGGCTGTAGTTGCTTTAAGGTTTATTAATTTACTTTGCAGGTTTAACGCCTTTACATCAAGCGGTGCTTGACGGCAATGAAAGCGCTGTAAGACTTCTGGTAGCTCATGGTGCAGATATCAACAAACAAGACGATGATTCTTGGACGCCGCTACATGCCGCGTGTGCGGAAGGATACGCTGATATTGTAGCGTAAGTAGTTTGCAATGTTGTATCTTTTCTTACCCAAGTTCAACAGTGTTCTAATTGCAATTCAAGGCAGTAAAATGTATCAGCTTTCTACTTAAATCACTTATGCACCAAAATGACGTCAATTTTCACTGATGTTATGTAAGAACTATTAAGTAATACTCTTAAAGGAATTACTGTCTGAATGCACAATTTTTAGAATTCTTTAGTTGAAGTTTTAATGTCAGATATTTCGTATTGTGTAAATATTGCATTTATTCATAGAAGATATAAGAACAACTTTATTCTAGATGGTATTGCATAATGTTTTTATTCACGTCAATTATAACATTTTCATTGTTCATTTATGTAAGTTCTTATTAATAGACCTTTAAGATATAAATGCTGTATATGTTACAATAGTAGATGGAATACTGGTATATTCAAATATTATAGTTCTGTAGCAATTTAATTCATAATTGAAACGTGACAATATAATGAGCTTGCATGACATCTTTCATAATCCCGCACTGCAACTATAGAATATTTGAGTCGTGAAATGTTTTCAGTATATTTAATCAGAAACTTAATATTTCCGATCCTTGAAGATCGTTTAGTTCCGTTCTGTGTGTTTTAGGTGTTTCAATTTCATCTTGTTCTCAATAGATGATACTGTAAAATCACCTTTAGGATAAGTTGTCTGCTTCTTATTTTTATTTGTACATCTGTCTGTGATATATTTATTGTCTAGGTCTTATCATTGGTTTCTGATTAAACACATTCTTTTATTCCGGGGACATTACATCACGTTTCACGTAATGACACGAATGTGTCACATTTAAGGTGCTATGGTCTGAATCGTATAAATACATTTGCGGATGTTTAAAACTTCTAAATTTAACGTTGTTTTTGCATGTTTAACTGTTGATTTCTGTTTAAATCGGTGCTTTGGGCGTAAACGGTAGCTTGCATTTATGACTGCCGCTTAGGAACAGGTTCATTTTCACTGAGTCTACAATATATCTAATTTTACCATGTTGAGCGACCTTAAATGATCTGACTACTTTGTTGAATAGATGTGTTTTACGTTTGCATTTGTTTTGCAATCATGAAGTTCCATATTTCATGTATCAATCATGTATGACTGTACGGAATATTTTCAGATTCTTATTGGACAGCGGTGCAGATAAAACAATATTGACAGAAGATGGTGAAAGACCACTTGATCTTGTAGAACAATCAGATTTCGAGACTATTCGTGTAATGTTGGGCCACGCCCAGTCTTGTGATAATGACCAGTCAGATGATGACACGTTGGAACAAGATGGCGGTATTTCCGTATCCGGATGACCTAATTTGTTTATACTCTATTTTACCAAAGATGTCTTTTTTTGTTGTTCTTAGATATTATTCGGGAGTTTCTCAATCTGTGACGGTTGACAGTGACTACTAGTATCAGATGTTTTTTACGATTTATTTGTGCCATTAACTATAAGTATCATGGATGATTTTTCTGGTGTAATATCCTTCATTCTTTTGACACTGTTTTGTGAAAAAGGACATTGAATTCATTCTGGTCGAGCAACTGAATAAAGTGATCAACTGTGTTACATTTTCTTATATCAACTGGACTTGAAATACTCATAACAGTTAAGTTAGAATTACAATCAAGTGATAAAAGCTATGAAGTAGTTTGTTTCTGTGTTTAACCGTTAAAATAGGTAAACATACGAAATGTTCTTTGAATTTACGTCACATAAAAGATCTACCTACTTTACGAGTATAGTGAATATAAAATTATGTACCTCGGATATTGAAACATGCACACAAAGCAATACTAAAATGAAGAATTTTATGCATGAGTACATAGCTTATTTTATACAAGAGAAATGCCGACTGAATTATTTATAAAATTGTGCATTCAATGATAAATTTGTAGTTTTCGAAACAAATTATTTATCGGCGATTCCGGTATCTCTTTAAGCGCATTAGTATTTGAATAAAAAGAATGAAAAATTCAAAACATGCATAACATGTGTTTAAGCGTCCGTGAGACTTCCTTTTTTTGCTCCACGTTACGGTAATCTGCATTGGTTTTCAACCATTACCACTGGGTGTTTTGTACAAATATAACTGACTTAATGTTATGCGTTAAACAAAAAGGAAACATTTAATCAAAAGATTGCTATTGGTTAAATGACCTGTTTATAAGTTCAAACTAATTTATATTATGTCTCATGCGCACGTTAGATAATCACTATAATTGCTTTCATTTTGCATAAGAAACACGTTTGTATTTGACAAAAAAATGGGTAAAACCGCCTTTTGTTTAGGGCCGCCTTATGAACGGGACAAAAGAGAGTCGCCTCATGAACGGGACAACAGAGGGCTACCTTATAAACGGGACAACAGAGGGCTGCCTTTTAAAACGGGACAACAGAGTGCCGCCTTCTTGGATCGACTAATGAACGTGACAAAAGAGGGCTGCCTTATGAATTGGACAACAGAGAGTCGCCTCATGAACGGGACAAAAGAGGGCTACCTTATAAACGGGATAACAGAGGGCTGCCTTTTAAAACAGGACAACAGAGTGCCGCCTTATGGACGGGACAACAGAGGATCGCCTAATGAACGGGACAACAGAGGGCTGCCTTATGAACGGGACAACAATGGGGCGCCTTATGAACGGGACAACAGAGGGGCGCCTTATGAACGGCCAAAAAGGAGGGGCCACCATATTGAAAGGGGGGCACAAAAACAAGGTCGCCTAATAAACGACATTAGGGGGTTCCCTTTATGGACGGGACAAGGGAAATAAAACTTATGCACTCATTCAAAAAATGAAAATTTTATCACCCAATCCCCGAATAAAGGGAAACCCAATTTTCCCGGGGAAAACATCGCAGGATATGGTTTCCCCGGAATTCAAAAATTAAATAAAAAGCAAAAAAAATAATTTAAAATTTTGGCCCGGAAAACTGAAAAGGGTCTATTTTTTGACTAATAAAAACTGCTTTTTTCCGCAAAATTTGGGCATGAAAAAAATTTTTCCACCGATACTAATTTATAAAAATAGGGTAATAAGGTTTTTTCTCGGGCCTTTTTGGAGCATTCTGAAAAATTCCAGTTTTTTTGGGGGATTTTAAAATCTGGTTGCTACATTACGGAATATAATATCAAGGGAACTTTAAATCATTAATAATTTATATGTAAATTCAATTTTAAAGTGAAACAAGCCGCTTCAATAACTACACATATTCCAGAGTTGATTTTGGGATTTTGAGCGAGCTTGACCATATCTCAAATTTGATTCATTGCTGCGCAGTTAAAAAATAGTTTTGAAAGATAAAAAAAAACCAACAATAAATGGCATGCTCTTCACATAATAAACGATTATTCTGTAATATATTCGTTTAGTTATACTGACTTTAAAAGAAATTATTATCCCCCAGATGCTTCACCTCTCAAATTTTCAAGACACTTTGCTTTGTGAAGTAAGATTGGTGATTTTTAAAAAAACAAATTTATACCCCATTCAGTTATTGTTACTGATTAATGTAAAGGACTTAAACTGACTGTCTTTGATGTGTCTAAGAATTTAAAGCACAATGTGTGCTTCAGATGGTCTATAAATAGGATATTTGTATATATCACGCTTTGAATTTTCACTTTATTTTGAATCATATTTCTCATCTGATTAACACTAGCGCGAAATATAAGCTAAACGTAAACTTGTATGCATGCATTTGATTTGTATCTGCATAGATTTCCCGGGGTACTGCCAAAACTATTTCAGTGCTTTGATTTACAATAAATCTACGAGTCATGCTACCCTTATATTAATGTCTTACATCTATGATGCAAGTCATTAAACGTAATTCACTTTAGCTTAGATATTTAACGCACCGACACTGCCTATGAATTATACATTGTATATAATTACGAGAACACTTCATGCCAGCGTAATAATGTGACGCTTAGACACAGTGATTGTTAGACACAGTGCTGCACAGTGTAACCATTCCTCATTTTTGAACGATTATTTTTACTATCATTACGAGAGCACTTCATGTCAGCGCAATAATGTGACGGTTAGACACAGTGTAACCGTTGAATCTATTTTATTTCTGAACGATTTTTGACTTTAAGTTAATCCTGCCTCTATATCGGTCGAGCATATATTATTCTAAAAACTGGTCAAAGTCATGTATTTTTAACACATTTAACACATTTTCGAAATATTTCAGCATGTTAAATTAATGCGTTTATGATACTATTCCTCAATGTGCTAGTATTTCCATGAAATAATACAATTCAATTATGATTAAAATCTGATTCGTTACAAAACTTCAAATAACATCAATCATCATGAAGATCTTGTGATAAAACTCTGGCACCATTTTCTTCGAATATGCCATCATTCTAATTTGATATTTAAAAAAATAATAATCAGTTTCCACAGTAGAATGCCTGCCAAAATATTTTGAAATGCTTATGAATGGTTATTTGAAGGGATAATTTTAGTCATAAGGTCGCAATATATAGAATTTCCACGCACTTTTAAATGAAAAGATGTCTTTCAACAAGTGTCCTCTTTTGCCTCTCTATTATAATACAATGAGATATTTTAAGTTACTAGTGTGTCCGTTTTGACATAACTTTAAGATATTATGGCGTTGTGAATCAGAAACGTGTACTTTTGTTCATCGTACCTTTAGCGCTTGGACAAGTTAAGTTTGTAATTTCGTTATTTGTCGATCATGTTGTGGGACTTTTAGAATTAATACGACCTTTGCAATGCAAATTACTTTAATATCAATTTTGTGATAATAGACACAAATAACACCATTTCTTATTAAAGAAAATTTATTTGAAACTTAACAAAACAAAAGATTTACTTTATTTATTGTAACAGATAATGCGTTGTAAATTAAATTGGAACTGACAGACGCAAAATGTTTCTAGTGCACTGCATTGAAAAGATAAAAAAAAAACCCGTTTACCTATGATAACCATATATTTATGGTACAAAATCTGGCTTTTTAACACGGTGATGCACTTGTGGTATATCAAACATTCAAGTTTATCATATCAAATATTCAAGTTTATCATATCAAATATTCAAGTTGATCATATCAAATATTCAAGTTTATCATATGAAATATTCGAGTTTATCATATCAAATATTCAAGTTTATCATATCAAATATTCAAGTTGATCGTATCAAATACAATGTATATCTCTTATTCGGATAATCTGGAGGGATTTTGCGATTAATTTGATGTTTACCTCTGTATAATTAATTTGTATATATTTCAGAGAGGTATCTCGAAAATGTAATATGCACAGGGCCAAATGTACTTATATAATTACCATGTTATTGTTGTAAGCTACGTGAACTCCCCTTTGGGCCTTTGGGCTCATGATATAAATTGACTGAACACGATTATCTGCAAGATATGTGATGATATAAGAATAATGTAATATAAGAATGTTATATCTTCATTGATATGCTATCATGTTACCGACCTATGTGATTTTGGTATATTTTCTGCTAAAAAGATTGAGATGTGTGTGTTATTGTTTGATGATAAAGAAAATTTGCTTTATTTGTTAAATATCCTAATAGATATGAGATAAAATAGCACGCTGTTTTGGTGAAATGTGAAAAAAGTATGTTTCGTTTTATCAAAAAAGAACAAAAAAACCCAAACACCCTAAATGTTACAATGTTCATAGTACAAATGAGAATTCGCATGAAAAGGTGCTTTAAATAAGTGGTGTATTTGAAGAAACGGGAAGTAAGTAATCTGGCATGATCGGTAATGCATTTTTCTGTTAATGAATACAATATTATCACATTTAAATTCAACTTCATCTTTTTGTTATCTTAATGTATAATTTTATTTGAAAAAGGACACATTCTGGGATTTTGTAAAATCTGTTTAAATCCCACTACACAGAATACGGATAACTTTAGTAATCCGGTAAAATCTTTATTTTCATACTTGCGTAATAAAATTGGGAATTAAAACATGTGAACAAATACCTTTTTCTGACAATGTAAATAGTGATGCAATTGCGTAAATCTTTTATAAAATAACTAGAGCAAAAAATTCTATGATAAATGATAAAGCCATTTTATAATATATCATAACAGAGCACCCGCAAGGACAATATGTCTGGATTATTATTGCGTTTCGACAGATAATGTAAGAAATCATTTATTTTTGCTGATTCCTACAGTGTGTTTGACTTTTTAACGTTTCACAAACTTCATGCTATACAATCAGCATGTATGAAACTATAAATGTGAACTTATAAACATGAAATACGGGTATACCAACATCTGTGTACATCAATGGTATACGGAACTGTTGTCATTTTTTGCGGCAAGCCGCTTTAACAACTACAAAGATTCTGAAGTCAGAGTTGATTTTGAGATCCTGAATGAGCATGACCAACTCTCAAAATTTATTCATTTTTGCGGAGCAATATATAGTACAAAAAACACAATAAAATAAGTTTCTTCACATAATAAACGATCATTCTGTAATATGTACGTTTAGTTATATTGACTTTATAAGAAATAAGTATCCCCCAGATGCTTCAACTCTCAAATTTTCAAGACACTTCGCTTTGTGAAGTAAGATTTGTGATTTTTTAAAAACATATTAATACCACATTAAGTTATTGTTACTGATATACATGTATGTAAAGGACTTTAATTGACGATCTTTGATATGTTTCAAAAGAACCA